ATAATTATATGATTATCACTGACCCAACACAATGCTAAATTTTTTTTAAAAAATAATTGACCCGCGATCAAAAAGGTTGCCGACCACTGCTTTAGAATTCAGTTGAAAAGCCGAACTATTTTATCCAATAGTATCAGTGTATAATTCACTTACGCTGTCGCATGAATACCACAGTTGTATCCTGAACTTCCAATAATCGTCTGCCATTTGTCAAAGTCCACACAGGCGGGTTCAAGTAGTATAAAACACCTTTTGACAAGACAAATTATTCTCCTTAAGTTTTTCAAACTGTTAATCTCACTCTAACATATCAATCATTAGGTTAATCACTCCCACGACTGTTAACTTTGCGTTTTCTAACTTTTCTCAGACCGAACTTCTCCTTCACGTGACTTTACTTTTACTCTCCTCCTGCTCCCACTCGTTTGGTCGCAGCTATTTATACGTCTATCACTTAAGCCTTCTAGAAATGTCTATAGCCTCGGCATCAAAGAGTTACAAACAGAACGTTCGAGAGCTTCAACATCAATGATTTACAAACAATAAATAAATAATACTACCTATACTAAACAGTCTTTTATATCTGACAATGACCATAACATCTCAGATTTCACTGTGCTACAAAGTTTAATATGGCATTTAAGGTTTACTTGTACTTTAAAGGTGAATATTCAGACGAAAGGGTAGGGATTTTTCTTTTAGGCCCACTTCCTTAAAAGAGGGCTCATAAGAAAGGCAAAAATGTGTACAAAATGTATAAAATCAGGATAGAAATCCATGCACTCCAGTCACTTTTGCGTTTACAGCATAATTCTAAAAATTATCAGGAGGAGGACACATGATGACCCTTCACATACTGACTATGATTTTTTATGGATATTATATCAGTTAAATCGTTTTCGCACCTAAAACCATTAGTGTCTTTGGTTTGGTTGTTGTTAAGCGGAAAGTTACACAATGGGCTCTCTTTACACACACACGTGTGTTTGTTTGAAATTCGCGTAAAGCTAGACGAAGGCTATCTGCATTAGCCATCCCTAATTTAGCAGTGTAAGACTAGAGGGAAGCAGCCAACTCTTGGGCTACTCTTTTACCAACGAATAGTGGGATTGACAGTCACATTATAACACTCCCACGGCTCTAACCACCTGGCCATGCCGGGCCACATATGTGTGTTTATCACGTAAGGTTTGTATCTGTAGTTAGTCAGAACAGTCAAATACTACTGAAATATTTAATTCGTCATTTTAAATTCCTTTCAAAAATGTACAAGTTAACCAGCATTTGCTCACTAACTAAATTATTGGGGAGGGGAGAGATCCTTGTATTTTCATGTTATATACGATCTTCTCAGTTCAATCACTCATGCTGATTAGTTAGATTGTTTTGATTCAACAAATTATTGCAAATTATTAATTAGCTGGTTACAGTACTCACCGTCCCCTTGGACTACTGTAATATCAGTTAAACTTTCAATAGTTAATAATCTCGTGACTGATGAAAGTTCACAACAATATTTGCTTCTTCTTGATCTTTTCAATGTTCTAAATATATTTTTAGACACCAGATTGTACGAAGTAATTGTGAATATCTTCGATAACAGCAATTGTTTGATTCCGT